TAATGTGTTTTAGATTTATTGTTTTCTAGTTTGTTTTACATCAATGTGTTACCAGCTTGTACTGCCAGATAGTGTTCACCACAGAGCCTATGCCTTTACAATTTTAGCAAAGTGTAGTCAATCTGATTTTGATGAGCTCTTTTACGATTTTACAAATGCTAACTTTACTGCAATTAATGATTATTTAACATCGTGTGACTGGGATACGCTATTTGGTGATCTAGATGTGAATGTGGCAGTTGAAAGGTTTTATGGAGTCTTACAAAATTGCTTGGATTGGTTTGTGTCTCAAAAGCGGATGAAAAATTCCTGTTACCCTAAATGGTTCAGCCCTGAACTTAAAGATCTAGTCTGTCGAAAAAAGATTGCCCATAAGATTTTTATAGAGACAAACCAATATGAGAACTAGCGATGTCATGCAATTCAATTCAATTAATTCAATAGTATGCACTTAGAGGGAGTTAGAGTGCAAGATAGGAAGAGTAATTTGTTTGTGGAGCACTTTAGTGGTATATATGAGTTCTGTACATCCTGTACCCTCTTTTTTATTTGAGAAGACAGGAGATATACTACTAAACAAAATTTCTCTTGAGGAAGTATTTAATAAAATCGTAAGTCTCCCAGTCGAGTTCAGCTCGGGTCCTGGCCAAATTCCAGAGGTTTTTCTCAAAGAATGTATCTTTACACTTACTAAACCCTTGCATCTTATTTTTACCTTGTCCATCCAAACATGTGTTTTTCCTGACTCTTGGAAGCACAGTTATATTAAGCCAATTTTTAAGTCAGAAGACATTGGAGATATTAGCTATTACAGAGGTGTATGTACCCAGTCATCCATTCCGAAACTTCTTGATTGCTTGATATATGATCCACTGAACTGGTATTTCCGTGGGCTTGTAAGTAGCTGTCAATTTGGGTTTCCTAAGGGTAGATCAACTGTGGAGAATTTGATGTCTTATATCTATTAGAGGCCTTGAAAAAGGGTCACCAGGTGGATGCAATCTACACAGACTTTTCCAAAGCCTTCGACAGAGTGAACTTCGACATTCTATTGGCAAAGCTGTCAGCTTATGTTTCTTAAGAAAACACTATAATATGGATGGAGAGCTTCCTTAAGGGTAGGTCAATCTGTGAAAATTAGTGGACATCTGTCTTCGAAATTCAAGGTTACAGCAGGGGTTCCTCAGGGTCTCCATTTTGTTTATGAATGACATCCCTGATGTTCTTATTCATTCCAAAGGAACTATGTTTGCTGATGACCTGAAAATGTACAGGTCAATAACGAAGAAAGGTGACATGGTGGACCTTCAGCAAGACCTTGATGCGCTGTGGCAGTGGACACAGCTTAATCACTTGTATCGGAACTCTAGTAAATGCTTTTTCATAAGTTTTTTTAAAAGTAGGAGTAGAATTCCAACTGGCTATAGATTAATTAATGATTACTCTCTCTTATAAGGCTACCGCTAGGGATCTTGGAGTGCTTTTTGATGAAAGGCTTAACTTTCCAGACCATGTTCTCAAAGTTAGTATAAAGGGCATACAGATACTGGGCTTTGTTTGGAGGAACTGTGAGTGTTTTTCAATACCTTCCGAAGTGTATATTGCTCCTTGGTAAGGTCAAATTTAGAATATGCCACAGTAGTATGGTCCCTTCAGTACCAGTGTTATAAAGATGATTTAGAACGTTGCAGTATAAATTTTTACGTCTTTCAGCATTAAAGAGGAACTTAAACATGACGGAATATCATAGAGCTGACATGTTAGAACATTTGCGTTTACCTACATTGGAGCATAGACGCTTGGTCTTTAATGGTTGTTTCGCTTTCAAGATTTTATTGGGGATCACCAATTGCGAAACTTTTTGCTTGCGATTAAGTTCCATCCCACAACCTATGGTCAGCGCTCTCCACTCGATAGAGCATTTCGTGTTATCAATTTAGCTCAGTCTGATAGTGACATTTTTACCTGTACACTCTCAGACTTTAAAAATTATCTTTTAAATTGTGATTTTTATAATTATGTCTTGTGAGCTTGCATTTTGAAAATGTTGTTCCCATTTCGTGATTATATTTTGTAAAAATGGGGTCACCCGTAAATTTGGTAAATAAAAATAAAAGAAAAATAATCTAAGGCATTTAATATCACTTTTAATGGCTCAAGGATACCATTTGATACGCAAGTATTCTTGGTCTTGTATCTAGATACAGGTTTAAATTCCAATGACCACTGTGTATGTAATGCTCAAAAGTCTCCCAATCATATCTTATGAAAGGGGAACGGTCCTTACAGAAGCACAGGTAGTTTCTGTTTACTATGCTTAAGCTGAGACACGACCGAGGTATGCACTAAGCTTCTGGGGTTTCTCCATACATGTCCATCAAATATGACTGGCCCAGAAAAGACTGGTTAGATGTATTATTGGAGTCAGTAGTAGGCATTCTTGTAAGATTATTTTTGAGCGTCTTAAGATTTTAACTTTACCATCATTATTTTTATACGAAATAGATTTTTAAACAATTTTAACTCATACTCGACCAGACAAGCTGGAGACTTAAATGTGTGTTTTTCCAAGTATAATGACGACGTCAGATCTCCGAAAATACTGGGTTCACAAATTTTCACTAGGCTATCAAATCATATTAAGGAGTGTGGAGATATGCCTTCATAATTAAGGCTAAACTGACAGAATTTCTTGTAAGCAAATTTTATTATGCTGTCTCTGAGCTTGTTATTTTATGATTTATCTGTTTTATTTTCGAATTTAAATTTTAATTTTGAAGCCTTCACAAGATAATGAGACAATACGCCCAACATATTGTATGGTTCCTAAATTCTCAATCTATAATAATCTCCTTACTCTACAGTTGTATTGAATGTGATACTGTTAGCGTTAGAATTTCTTTATTTTTGTACGCTCCATGATAAAAAGCAAATCATTGATTTATAGTCTTTATGCGTCTTATAAAGTGTATAGTCTTTTCCTCACCTTCAGCTGGTGTTATGGCTCCAGTTCGTTCCCAAACAAGCTTCATGCATTAGATCTCAATACAAAAGCTTTTACCTTTCTCTTCGTATGTTGTACGTGTTACTAAGCTGTTCCATCCAGAAATATAAAGCTTAAGCCCGAGAGAAATCATTTCACTTCAACCTTTATTTTAGAGACTGCAACTGTATACCTGACTGCCTCTAAAGCAGCCGAACGTATATCGTAGAAATCTCTAATGCATCAGTTGGCGAAAGCTTTTCCCCCGAAACATAATGCATTTACGAATCTCACTCTAACAGACTTTGTATACGGCGTGCTCGGAAGGTCGATACAAATATCTTAACGTCTGATAGTACACTTCATTTGGAACACATTAGGCGACAAATATCTAAGTTAAGCGCATTTTTGTGAAAAACAAAATCATGCCATAAGTTATCGCTTGTTCGATAATGGAGGGCAGCTCCTTTTTTCTGTTATTTCTATCACTTACCTCAATGTATTGTCATCCTATGCAAATAGTTTCCAGTTATAAGAATAAGATTGGCTTACTACATAGGTAGTTCGGCTTTATTGAATAATTTGAAGACAGTTCAAATTAAAGTCATTGAATTAACTTCCACTTCTGCAGTTTCTTACGATATGTTACAACCACGTTTTTCTCGTTTTCCCAAAGTATTAAAACATTCAGAATATTATTATGTTATCGAAATCACAAAAAAACATAAAATTATTTTTTTCTAAAGACATTGCACTTACAGTTCTCTTAGCTTACACAATAACAAAACGTAAACCACTATATCTTGTTTCGTGTTCCTGTAGTAGCAATCAGTTTACCAACAGTGATTCCGTATCATAGCACCATCTGGGCTTTGCTGGCTTTGCGTGACGCCCTAATAAATTTTCAATGATGGCTTGCAGGTAACAGTATCATTCAGACTATTGGAGTAACACACTGTATAGGAATGTGAAAAAAGGAAGAAACGAAATGTCATCTAGGAGACAGAAAAGAGAACATATTCTCACATATGCCAATTGTATTTGAAAAACACCACAGTTGTGGTCGAAACGTCGTACAGTACTGAAATCTAAACATGTATATATCGATATAGACAATACGTATGCAATATATACAATACGTATGCAATGGATACAATATGTAAACAATGTTAACAATACGTGTACAAGTATATAATGTTGTAAACAATACATAGAGTAACATAATATGTGAGGTTAGGTTTACTTGTAAACGTCCAAACAATACGGTTGAACGCGCTAAAAAATAAGTAAATCGATAAACTAGGGTCATTTTGTTTGAAGATGGAATAAAATGTTTTGTTCTGTAACTGTAAAAAAAAGTTGTATAATCCAGCTACATGTGTATGTCGCTTGACATTGCACAGGTAAGTTAACATTTGTAACATCGTAAATGCGGCTACCAGTGCGCTACCTACAAATTTCTAATTGCCTGATAGAAGCTCACTTCACATCACTAAGTACAGTAAGAAGAAGTAGTAAGAAAGTATGCGTAATACCTCTGACGAATGACCGATGACGGCTTAGCCAATTTAAACATTGACGATGCTAACGGCGCTGAATGAATTCAGTCAAATGGGTGGATCTTGTTTTTAGAATATATTTCATTTTATTTTAGGAATGTTCATTGTTCATATAAAACTATAACTTTGCATACATGGTAAATAAATGTGTATATTTAGACCTTTTCTAATTATCTAAAAATCACTTCTATAGGCGCCGCTTATATGCATGCAACCTAATTGAACTGATATTTGCTATTATATATCACATTGTCTAGATTGTTCACATTATCTAAATGAATAACGAGACGTATACAATTATTATTGTATACGCGTATACAATTGAGTATTATTTTACATGATGTACGTATAAACTGGTATCAGTGGTATTTATTCGACGATGGAGAGAATTTTAGCCTATATCAAATATTCCTAACCACAAAACTTTTGTTGGTTATACTATTGATTGTTTTCCACAGGCCAGCATGTCCGAGTTCCTTGTTCCACGTATGGGAAACGCTCCTGCAGGAAGTGGAGATCGACTTCCAGGCGATGGGTGATATTGCGTCCATTTTGAGCCGGCAGGTGTCCAGGCCGCTGCTAGAGAGGTCCTTCCACAAGAAGATACAGTCCAGGAAGGTGTTCACGCATAGAGAGAGTTTCGAGACTATCATCGCCAAGACAGAGGAGAAACTGGCCAAAGTAAGTACAGAAAGGCACGCTCAACAACTTTGCATACATGATTATTAAAAAACGGTGCAATATACTTAGGAGAAAAAACAAATTGATTCTTATAGGTATGAATTTGGAAATTCGTCGTGTCTTTGACTATTTAATCGTCTTAATTTCTACCAGTCACAAATGCGGAATTTTGAATTACAAATGGTTTCTATACGGAAAAAAATTATGATGAACAGTTTTGTCGAGTTTACCCAAGGCAAAACTTGACAGCTATTGTCACCAAAAATTACAATGCCTTTGACAACAAGTAATTATGGTTTCTCAGGACACCAAAAAACGACGCTAAATAATTTTTTATTTCCAATAAATTGTGTAATATTGCTTTTAAACAGTGCTAGTCAGCTTATGTAGTAAAAATGCATGTATAATAGGTAGTATGTTTTGTAAGCTATGTGTATGGAGAATAATCAGTTACTCATGAAAGAGTTTTGTCAAATACCATTCGGGCATCTAAATTTTTCCTGTAAAAAAAATCCAAAAAACTCGATGCAAAGTAATATTTTTTAACAAAAAATCTTTGTGCAGGTGCAAAAATCTAAAATATTACTTAGCAACGTGTTTTATTGATTTTTTTTAGATTAGATGCCCTTATGATATTCCTTATGAATCATCTACGACTGAGTGGATGGGTGTACTTTATGAATAGGTTTTTCTGGCGTCAAATTCTACTTTTCATTCCACCGCTTTCTTTATGTCCAGTAAAGTTTCTTTACGCTATGCATAAATTTGCTTATGCTAAACACAATATGGCGGCCTTCTAAGCTGTACGTATTTATTCGTTGCTGGGCGAGGGTGCAAATACCGCTGATAAAGCGGTTCGGTCAACTCATTTCTTGTTTCTTTAGGTGAAAGTTGACTTGTAAATGAAATGTTGAATATACAAGGGTTGATCTATGATCCTCGACCCCGGCCCCCTTGCAATTAACCTACAATTGATTTATGTGTTTTATTTTCCTACTTAATCCCTTCTATCATGACTGCTCTTGTTTCGATGGTGCTCTAGCAATAAAATGGCTTCCCGGTAAATATTTTGTTCCACTGCTAAGCAGCTACATCATATATCATCTCCTGCTTACTTCATAGTAGCCACAATATTTTCGTTGATTTCGATGGCCGCCATGCCCTTCTTCTGCATTACAGCTTTTTGCTGAGCAGGATTATTTATATTAGAGTCATTGTCACACATTCAATTTAAGGTTCACAAGGCTCGCCATTCATTGTGGGCTTGTAGACGCGTTGTTGGTGTTAGGTGGGGCTCAAACCCAACGTGGTTCACTGGCTCTACACGACAATAGTGCGTCCATCTCTCTTGTACGGCTCCCCAGACTATACTGGGGTCCATCACTTTGGACCCCCAGGACATTAAGGAGCATGGTCTCAAGGCCATACTCAACTTCGCTAGAAAGGCGAGGCTTGAGGTCTAAGAAATGAGAAGGTGCACAAGGGCCCGTCTGAGTGGCCTATGCGCTGGCTCCTTATGGGGGCCGGTATCTAATTTCGTGTTTTCATTAATTCATTGTCACAAATGAGTCGAAAAGCACATAACGTTCAAATAGTTTGACATAATAAGCTACATATTGTGCTAAGTTAGTCTACTAAGATCACTTTTTCCACTGCTAATATCATTTATCAAAAAACCAATAAGCAGTTGTCGTGGGCCACAACCACACGCATTGAGGCACAGATATATACGTAACTATCATCATAAGATAAAGATGACAGAAAGACCCCTACCCCTTCTGACTCATAACTACTTGAGGATTTTCGCTATAGACTCGTCAAGTAGTCCTAATACTAAATACTCACAAAGCAAACCAGCAATTGCTTTAACGAAAACTGATATTCTGCAGAACGTGAATCCAGTTGCTGATGATATGCACATATCAAAAATAAAAAAAAGCTAAAGATGGGGACATCCTCATTAGTTGTACGACTGCTGACCTCAAGCTGAAGAGAATAGTCCAAGAAAAGTTGATTGAGTCTTGTCAAGGAAGTTAGTGGTGTCAATCCCAGGATTCATATTGAAGGTACATCTACTGAATACACAGCGGAATACCTGTATCTTACTGCATTTTTATAACTCTCCTCTCATAGATACTTGCCAATGGAATGATTGTAATATTTAATATATCAAGCACTCCACTCTTTTACTCTGAATTGAGTTATTCTGTTAATAACTTTAATTGTTTTATAATTTTATTTTGAGGTCATTAGTCATGATCGATTGTTCGACCACCCACTACTGGAATGTAAACTCTTTGTAATGTAAAATTATTTTCTACTTTTTAGTACGGTTAGCTATAAAAGCGTATTTTTTAGTGTTTTTAAACTACTATTTATTCAGAATAGACGAAACAAGTGATATTGAGAAATACGGGCCACGACTATCAACAACTTTTCAAAAGTGTTTGAGTTTCTTGTTTATGATGCAGTTTATTGGCATGGCATAATACTTTAATAACTCAACAGCATGTTTTCATGAAAAAACGATCAACAGTTGCAAACTTATCCTACACTACTCAGTATACATACATTTGATTTTTTGAACGGATCGATTCAAAAAATTAAAACTTGAGGTAATGAAATTGATGCGTGGATACCATACTTTAGAGTAAAATTGACACATGAAAATGTCAAGATCGCGGTTGGGCGCCATCTTGGAAAAAAATATATGAAAACGGGGGTCTTGTGGCAACATCATTTTGAAGGTCCTGACGAGTGCTTTATAACTCTAGAATATAAAGTCAATACCTTTACCTCCTACAAAATGGTGGTACGTTTAATAATTACCTGAGTATATTGACATTTAACCTGATAACTCGAATAAATACGGTCAGTTCAGTTTAGAAGATTCTGGAAATGGTTGCCCTGAACTTTTTGACACAATAACAGTCGGTCCGTAATTTCGCGTCGAACATTTTCAAACAAAGTAACATCGATATTTCTACAAGTATTTGTTATTCTCATCCGTATATCCAATATTGAAGCAGGTTCAGTTTCGTATACCTTTTGCTTCAAATAGCCCCAAAAAAAGTCTAAAGGTGTCAAATCTGGCGAGCAGCTTGACATTCCACAGGACCTCGACGCCCAACGACGGGGGAAATTGTTATCTAAATAATTCCTAACTTGTCTGAAGTAGTGTGGTGGAGCACCATCTTGCTGGAATACAATATCTGCATTAAATTCATTAGGATTCGCTTCGACGATTTCGGTGATTAGAGGGTTAATAGTATTTTCCAGCATATCAAAATACCCCGGTTAAAGTTTGTTCGATGAATAGAGGCCCCACTATATGATTTCCCAATATCCTAACCCAAACGTTATTTTTTTGTGGATATTGACAGTTTCCCGATAGACGTGAGGACTGGTGTCCAATAACGACAATGTTGTCTATGCATATTTCCGTTGAGAAAAAATGTACATTCATCACTAAAACAAATATTTTGAATATGGTAGGATGCCGTGCATTGGTTTCCATCATAGTCGCGCAGAATTCTGTTCTTCAATCAGAGTGATATTCAGTTAGCTGATGTACCATTTGAATTTTGTATGGGTGATACTTATTATTTTTTAAAAGTCTCCATACATTCGCGATGGAGGGAGTAGACTGTTGGGGATTTACTATGATCTCACCAATTATTTGAACTTGCTTTTCTTCCTTGGGCTTTTTGTTGTTTACACTACCAATAGCTGCAAATTTATATACAAGTTCCCTTAAATATTTTTTACAGATAGGACGATTCGGGAAACGATCATTAAAAATCCTTTCGGTCTCGTGAAAGTTACGCGTCGCACCATAAATGAAAATCGCTTCGATTTTTTCTTCCAATGGACGAGAATTGACCATTTTAAAAATAGATCAAACAGTATCTAGCACTAAAATCGAAAACTAAATAAGAATATGTACAATGATGTTTGATTCTTGTCATTGTCAATAAAAATAACAAAACAAGTTTTTATCGGTGTTGCTGTGGATACGGCAGGGAAATACAATTATTTGTAGATATATGCATGTCAGTGGATCTGTGTTCAAGTAATTATTAAATGCACCACCAATTTGTAGTAGGTAAAGGTATTGACTTTATATTCTAGGGTTATAAAGTACTCGTCAGGAGCTTCAAAATGATGTACCACCAGACACCCGTTCTCATATATTTTTTTTCCAAGATGACATCTGTCAATTTTAATCTAATATCTGGTATACACGCATCAGTTTCATTACCTTAAGTTGCATTTTTTTGAATTGATCCGTTCAAAAAATCAAAGGTGGGGGGATATTAAAGAAAAGCACTGTATATCTGAAAATATAGACTCTTGTGTTCAAGCTGATATCATTTATACTGACTTCTCAAAATCCTTTGACCTGGTGCATCATGGCATTCTCCTTAACAAATTAGCTATCCTTGCCAGGATTGGTCACCTCCTCTTGCTTATAAAATCCTATCTATATGAGAGACTCACATACGTTTCTAAACTTTTGGATAGATAGACTTGAAAATATCCAGCGGCGATTACTAAAGTACCAACATTTGAAGGAAAATGAGAGTTACCCATCAAGTGGCTACTCTTAACAAATTTTGGAAAAAGTTTTTGATCTAGAAAGCCTTAGGGAAAGGCGTGATAAGTGCTCCGTTAATTTTGTGCGTGATATATGGCACAATTGTATCGATTCCTGCAATATATTGCATGATTTTTTTAATTTTTTTGTTGAACGATTAAATTCTAGACAATTGGATACTTTTTGTGTACCCCTAGAACAAACATCTCAAAGTTTTCTTTACTATTTTACTCTTGCGGTGGGGCCAATCACGTTGGAGAACAATTGGATATATTTCTGTGATTTGTCTGTATTTTGCTTTCTTATCTGCACTATCAGATTGGTAAATAGCACCTTTGTGTTTGAACTATCTACTCTTGCTTGTATTATAAAATAATTGTTTTTTTTTTCGTGGTCCGACTGTGTCATACGTGTAACTGGCTGTTTCTGTTGAGTAGTGTGTAAATAAATA